TAGAATTATTGTTTAAATATTTGAACTTGTGAGCTAATAAAATTAGGCGGACTTGGCACAATTGCGCATGCGCTCAATTTATACTACAATACGTTGTTAATGTGATTGTTGTGATTAGTGATTACTGAATAGACGCAAAATTGAAAATATGTTATGGTTTGAAATTTTGCATAGGTATATAATAATTATTACTTTATAATTTATATATGCTATAAAGTTTATAAGGTTGTTTTGTTCACTGTTGTTAAAGAATTTTGAAGCATATTTAAACATTTCAACATTTTACCGTTTTTAGAGTATATTTTACAATAATTTAAAGGTCGCATCATGTAACATGTATCAGATACTCGTATTTGATATTTTAATATTTTTAAAGTATATTATATTATTATTTATTTTAAAGTAATTTAACGTGTATTTTTGTAATGATCTTTGGGTAAATTTCAAAATTATAAAAATAATTAAATTTGTACCTACTTATCTCGTGCAGGCCAGTCTGGTAATAACTTATTATTTGATCCGAATACTTGATAATTGAGACAATGACAATATTCATATTGATAAATGGAGTAATAGCCAATAGTTACAAATTATTGGTGCTTATTTTCTTTTATGAAGTAAAATGATACCTTTATTGATCATATTTAGTATTTAATGATTGTTATCGGTTATAACTTATTATTTTTTATTAACTTTAAATCATATTAAGAGTTGTTACTCATTGTTTTACATCGTTAGTTGTGAATGTAAAAAATAAACATGATCATACAAAGTCTCCTAAAATTAAGCGCGTTAACATTGCAAATTAAAATGCCTTTTATTTAATATTGTTGATTTAATTTCTATAAGGCTTTTACATGTATATATTTTACCATTTGTGGTGCATAATAAACATATATTTTTAAGAGCATATTTCGTGATTTTTTAGTTTAAATCCAAGACTTAATAAAAACTTCTGATAATTTAGTATGTTAATACAATGACTGTCAAGCACCTATACCGCGTGACGCGTATATAGGTACCTACTAAATATGCGAATAGTACCGACGTGAATATGAAATAAATTATTAATCTGACCGTAAGAGATTAGTCACTAATGATTTGAAATCATTTATCTAATTTGTATTTTTATTCATTGAACGTCATTGAAATACCTATGATAAAAAGTTCAATGATCTTCGTATTTATTACAAAGTTTTCTATTACGATTTACAAATTACGATGGATTGAACATATTACCCTCAGAATAATATGATTATAGTCGATATGTGAATATGTCTGAGAATTACAGTGACATAGTGTAAAATATTCTAACCCTATACGCCTAGAGGTGATTAAACACTGAAATTAAATTATTAAATAACGATGTGAGAAAAAGTCTGATGCTATAAAAGCTAAACAATAATAATAATAATATAATTGTTTTCATATTTATAAATATACTTTATCACGCCTTATACATATTATTCTAAAATTTACTTATTGTATCATTTGAATACAGATTGTAAATACATTTTTTTTAAGTAAAAGTTTTACTTTTTAGTATTTGATTAATTTATTTTCTATAAAAAATTATTTATAAAACAGAACCAATGAAATATACTATTGAAGAACGTCTTATAATATCAGGGATTGTGCAAATAGGACTACCAAGTTTATTTATGAAACTCGACTATTGTTTGCGTGATCCTATGATAACAAAAAAACGTTCGTAGTTTCATTAACAGTTTGTATTTACTAATACTATGAGTTTAGTCAACTATACAAAAAAAAAAAAAAAAATAATAATAATAATGTACATACCACCAATAAAATATTAACTATATTATTTAGAACCATTAAATTTATATGCCAAGTCGTTCAACAAAAATCAAAAATTGAAACCATATAATTTTAATGTGATAGCTCAAAAACATAAAGCAAGAGAAAATATGATTAATGAAAGAAAAAAAAAACAAGTTGAATTTCATATTAAACATTAATACTCTATTCTGTAATAGTAAGTGGGTAGTTATTGTCATTATCATTTTTTCCCAGGATATTATAATTCATAATATAGAACAGAAAATGAAAAGCATTGATCCAACAATGCATCCTTTAGACATATTATTTATTAAATTTCCATTAGATAGTTATTTTGAAAACAAAAAACATGACAAAGGTGTTGTAAAAAAAGAAATAAAAAAAAATAAAATCATTGAAAAATTGGAATGCAGTATGTAATTATATTATTAAAATAATAAAGTTTTAAATAAGTTGTATTATGTTTTACTTTTTATGATAACATAATTTTGTAGTTACTTCGGAAATTCTAAATATTATTAGTAGTAATAAGGATGTTCTAAACAAAAATGAATCAAAGACTTACAACGCTGTCACAAATAATAAGATAGTCATAACTGAAAATGACAAATATTTGTCCACAACTCAGCCGTTTAATTTTTTAAATCAAAAACAGAAAAAATCTAACAATGATGAATCTGAAATTGTTATTCCGAGTATTATATCAGATATATTAAGTTTCAGTGATAATAATTCATATGATAGCGAATATTTAAATTTAACACAACTTATTCGTCTTAAGAAGTCAATACCATTTAAATATATTGAATACGTAGAAGTGAATGAAGAATCAGAATCAGAAGAGACAATTGAAGATGAAGATTTTAGATTTTTAAAAGAAGAAAATGAAAATGATGAACATTTTGTACTGAAACCTGATTTTAAACAATGTTTTTTTGGAAGATATCCTAATATTGCTTATAGTAATCCAACAAAAAAAATTTCACAGATTCTTGAAAAATCATCAGTTTTTAACATTATGAATAATCAATCAAAAATTAAAGATTCAATAATAAAAATGTTCAATTATAAAAATAATTGTTTCCCTGATTATCGATTGCATTCTATTGGTATAAAAACGTCACAATATAATAAACAAAATCTTAGTTCCAATGTGTTAGTTTAATTCGATTTTAAATTTTAGCAATATTTTATTGAAATATGTGTTTTCAGAATTATAGACGAGAACAAAATCAAGTATAGAAGTATGCAATCAAAGAATAGTTTACCAAAAGTATCGGTTGAATTAGATTTCTATAAGACTAGTAATACAATATTAAATAATTTAAATCCCGATAACATTTCTATACAACGTGAATCCAAAAAGTCAATAAAAGATAAATCTATTGATCAGATCGATACGTATAAAAAGATAATGGTACCTATTTATTATATTTATTCATTTAAGGTGTTACTTGAATCAATGTTCCTTAATGTAATACGTAAATAATAAATTGTACTATAAAAAAGTTGACCAATTCGTTAATATTAATGTTGATATATATTTATTCTATTATTACTTTTATTACTTTATATTTATCAGTATCATAAAAAAAAAAAATTGAAAAATGAGATAATTATTAAATTTTATAGCAAAAAACGCACATTTATGACGAAATTCTTGAAAAAATACACAAATTGCCAAAATGGAAAAAGCTCAAGGTTGTTATTTTGTATGAATACAGTGCACTCAGTACACATATGAATCATAACTTAATTGTATTAATTATATGTTTCATGTAGGCAGTATTAGAATTCTTAGCTATATTGGGAGATCCAATTGCAAATTTGCCGTATATAATTAAATTAGATATCATTAGATATTGGTACAAGTTTCGAATAAATATTAATAATAGTCATCTAACAGCAAAACAAAATGGTAAGATCGCATTTGAAACTATTACAATTATTGTGCATATTATATTTTACAATATTTTTAGCTAAACTATTAGAGTCTTCAAAAAAGTTATGGAAATCTCCGAAGTCCAAAGTCATGGATAAATTATCTATTCCACGAAATCCATTTAATAATAAAAAACTCTGCGTTAAATTGACATGGGATAAAAAAAATATTGTGTTAAAAAAAATTAACAAGATTAAAGATAGTTATACAAAGAGATTTAAAAATCTGACGTTAAAAAATAGAAGAGAAATGTATCCTACATTTAAAACGATACATTACAAAAATCAGTTCAATAAAGATTTCAAAAGAATATATTATTCTTACTTTCCTGCTTAGGAAAGCGATATAATATGGTGATAGAAAACCTCAATGCCTTCCAAGAAACAATAGAAAAAATTAAAAAATGCAACCAATTTTTTTATTATTTAAATAAAAAATAAATATTAAGATTTGGATTAATAAAATATATTTTATATGCCTTAATGAATTATATTAAATTATATATATTTAGCACCTATTCATATTACATTGGTATAATAATACTTTAAGTCCAGCACTTCAAAAGAAAACGAGTAGATAAATAATTTATAAATATTAGTTAATGAACTAACTAATTTAATAAAAATATATAATTAATTTAATGATAAGAAATTTAATTTTTGATATGATTTTAATTTATAGAGACAATAGGTAAATATAAAGTTAAAAATATGTTACTTATTTAAACGAAATTACAATCAATACTAGCCACTTTTATTAAAAATATGACTTGAATTATTATTAACTATTAATATTTCTTATATTTTAATATATAATTTAGGAAAACATTATTTTAAACTTTAAAATTAAACAAATATCATTAAATATACCAATAACTATTTTTTTTTTTTTAAACATTTTCAGTTTTTTCATTTGTTCATATCATTTGATTTATTTATTGTGCTACTTCTATTAAATATTATAAATATTCTATTATTATTAATAATAATAAAAATACATTGTTAGTAAATTTTTTTGTTTTCTTCTATTTTAATTGTGTGTTTATTTTATGATTTTAATAATTATTAAATATTTCAAGTGTATCATTTCATTTTATATTTACATTATTTATTTATCAATATTATTTAAAATAACTAAAAATCTGAATAACATATTTTTAGATTCTGGTTAGCCAGCTAGTTTATCGATTTTCTACAATATTTGAAAATCGCTAAGCAACATATTTTATGAATTGAATTTTTAAAATTTGGAAATCATGAAACCATTTAGTATGGACGATATTCGTGATTCAAATTATTCACAGTTACAAGGAAAGTGCTTAGAGTCAGATGCAACTATACATGTGAGTTTTCATTTAAATATCCGGTTTTTAAAGGATTATTATATAATTATTAATCATATATTATAGTGTTCTCCTAACTATGATGCATTGGTTCAGAAGAAAAAATTCAACGATCCATTCCTACCTAATCACTTAAACAAAAATACAATATATGGAATCATAACAAAAAGTATGAGATCACTTGTTTGTTTTTAAATAATGAATTATTATTATATATAGGTAATTGTTTTTATTACAGCTAAAATGTCTGCTGGCGATGTAATTTTTCCAAATAAATTATTTTGTAAAAATTATGTTGAAGACAAAAAAGAGACAGATTTATATAAAATTTCTCATCATACGTATGGAATTGGTGAACAGTTAAATCGAAAGTTAGTTCTAATTAAATTTCTCTACAGAAGTTAGTTTGATTATTTGTGGAATAATTTAGGTATACAAAAAGTTTTGATCCAGATTATCGGTATGGTAAATCTTTAAAACGGTTACCAGCGGGTGTGTGGTTTGAAAACAATGTTCAAACTAAATCGTCAAATGAAAATAAAAATATGCTCTCTGATTATATTAATAAATTATTAGAAAGGTATGACATAAAAGTGTATTCATTTAATATAAATATATTAAATATATATTATATATATTATAAAATATTATAATATTATAATATATAATATATTATATTATATTATTATTATATATATTTTATTTATTTAAGTGTAGTATTTTAAATATTTCATTTCAAAATTCATTATTAATAAACGTAAATAGTAAAGAGAACACACAGTGCCGGTATCCGTATATTGACAACCGGCAAGGAAAATTCATAGGCAGATCGTATTTAAGAGCACAAGACATTTTAACCGGAAATGAACCAGACAAAAAAGGGTTTGAGCGTATCGATTATTCATCGTCAGTCAGTAGATTAAAAAATTATATCAAAGAAAAAAAATACGATTTAAGGGAATTGCATGAAACGTTCAAACTGTTTGATAAGGTATTCACGTAATCACGTCGCTATACACTTTTAATTATAATTATTATTTAAATTTGATTCAATTATATAAAATACGACAATAGCAAACGAGGGGAAATGTATAAATTATTTTTTGTTTAATGTGATGGACGATTGTAGTACAATTTTAAACAATTAAAATGCTAATAATGTTTTTGTAAATTCTGAGGTCATGACTTACTCGCTTACGCACATTACAAATAATGCAGTAGTGCTAATACGTTACACACTCTTTAAGTTTAAATATTACATATGAGCTAGATTAATAAATATCTACAGTTTCTAGGAATAAGGCGTTAAATTTTATATTTTTATTCGCTAAAATAAACTACGTTTTATTTTGATAAAACACTATGAAATGTATTTTACGAAGTTTGAGAGGACGTGTTGTACAACAAATTTGAAATGCTTAGGAATGCACAGGATGGCTGCCACTGGAACAAGTGTATAAAATCTGTTACTATCATAAAATCAAGCCTGAGAAAAAAATGTTCGATCTTGCCTTATATTCTATTAATGCTATAAGTAACAACAATGTCAGTTATAATTTATTTCTGGATTTGCTCGACCCAAATGTAAAGTTTTCGACGGTTTTAAACAATGATGGTCATACAAATATCGACAGATTCATTCCGATATATAAAAGCGATTATGGAAACACATTGTCTCGTAGCATTCAATTAAATAAAAGTATTGTAAAATAATACACAAGTACGAAATATTTATCAATGATTTTATACTATTTCGTTTTTAGACCTTAACGTTTATACATCTGTTAAACCAAAACTTTTAATTTATCTGGATTGTTTTGGGTCTGAAACAAACGTAAAAACATTACTGAATCCGACAATATTTTCAAACTATGGATTAACCTACAGAGACTTTTACATAGTAATTATTACAATAATGAAGTAATTATAGTTAACAATATTATAATGTTGTGATAAATTGAAATTTTTCTATGTATTATCATTGTTTATTATATTTATAGGGACGTACTAAAGATGTAATGAAAAAACTATTCCAAGACATTGGAGTGAAATTACCAGATGATATTTTCAATATTACCTGGGATAATGCGTATCAATGTGATGGCATCGACGACAAAGTAAGCGTAGAAGTTTTTAGACAGGCTTTACAAGAACTGGCCAACAGAATGATCGACCTAAATGATAACAAATAGATCAATAACTAAATAATATTATAATACATATTATTACTGTTTTCTATTATCAATTATTAATCAATGACAAATATAAAATTATAAATAATAAGCTACCAGGTATAGGTTAGATTAGGTATCAGCTTTATTTATTTAGTCGCTTTGAGGTAGTTTCATATTTTTTATTAGTTTATATAACTGCAAATTTTTGTCATATTAAATGTAGACAAGAAAATTATACGGAAAACGGTAAATATACAATTTTTATTAAACAGTTATAAAGTTGTAGTTACTAAAAGTTATTATAACATTCTTAAAAGTATAATATATTTTAAATATTTAAAAATTGCATTAAATATCATAAAAATATTTCAAAATAAAAAAAATGTTGTTATTTAAATTTAATATGGCAAACTACGGTGCTTAGAAAATTATAATCGTTATTGTTATAGATTTAGTAATTTATATGGTTATACGATAACATATTATCGCAAATTCGTAATAACAAACACTGCAATGTCTTGTCGTCTACAATAATGATCTTTGATTAGTTACAAAGATTATCTATTTTACTATTTTTGTCACCCAAGTCCAATGGGTAATGTTAATCAATAAATAGTTATATCATAAATAATGTTTATTTACATATTTTGAATTACACTACCTACTACCTAGATATGTTCTTTTTTCATTTTTATGTTAATATTAATTGCTGCATCTTAATAATTAATAAATTGTAATTTCTTTGTTAATAATGTTAATCATATAAAATAAAAATATATGTATAAGTATAAAATAATTATTCTTAATAGCCTTTGTAGTATTAATTAAAATATGTAATTTTGTAACTTTTATAAGATCTTCAAAAACAAAGTATTATGTACTTAAATAAAATAGCGAGTTATCCTAAAAAGTTTAAAATAGTCAAACAAATGATTTGAATCGTAGATATAGATTCAAATAATTATAATATACTTATCGTCAATATTTATTTAATAATTTTTAATATTTTACGCAAACCTTATGATTTATGTTTTTTTTTTTTTTTAATAAATGTTTTTGTTTTTTTTTAACATATTTATTTTAATTTGTACAATCTGTAACAGAAATATTTACAATAAGCACAATGGAGGGTTACAATAGGTCATGGTTGGCTTGGTTGAAGTAGTGTTGCGAATAGTTACTAGTTTTTTTATTATCTGGATTGAGCACATAACTCGTATTCAACTCATGTCACATGTACAAATTGTTATATAAATTGTTGATGTTAGGAATGAGAGTGGATAAAATTTTAAATTTATATTAATACTGCTAAGTTATATGGAATTGATTTTTCAAATAATTAAAATAAATTAAAAATTATATTTTTTTGCAACATAATAAAACCCGTTTGATACAGTCATCACTCATCACGATATTTATGCAAATCATGTAAATCACGAATTTGTAAATTTCCTTTAAATTTTTAATGTTAAATCGGTGAAGATATAAGTTTGAACACGATATTTTGCATTATATGTAATGACTAATGACTAATGAGTATGAAGTAATTTATTATTATCAAAATACGTATAATACACCTTACTATAATAATATTAAAATATATATAATTATATCATTATTCATCTTCACTAATTATTATAATAGTGTAATTGTTTTGCGCAATAATTTTACAATATGATACCTAATTCATGTCATATAATATGGCCAATTATTGCTACTATTATTAAAGTCTGAAATACTATAATTCCGTTTTTCTGTAACACAATAACTGAGTTCAAAAATATTACGTGTATTTAGGTGCCACGAACGACCCATAATTATGGTTATTATCCATATGATTAAAGTGTTCTATTTTCGATGTTTTAATGCACTCAATATTTATACATATACATATTTATATTTATTTTTATTATAATTTTAAATTCGTTTTAAGCTAAATGCATTTTCAAATTTTTACGCACAATTTGCACTTATCATTATTCATAATTATGGATCCCCAAAACTATTAAGTTAAATATTAGTAACATCTAAATTATAAATTTATTTAAATTAAAATATTTATGATTCGCTTTAGATAATATAATAGCATTGGGATTAGGATTTAAATATAGGTAATATTTTACGAATTTATTATAATTTATAACACATTCCCGTAAGGATACTTACAGAAAGACAATGCAATCAATAATACTGCAATGTATTCTGTGTATTACTTATTATTATTCTGTGTATTACTTACTATAATATGGGAACAGGTCAAGCGTTGTCCAAAATTCGTGAAAAACGACTAAAGGTGGTTGAACGAATTGCGATGGAAAATTAAGTTCTTCTATTATAATAATAAGACGAAATGTGTAATTTTAACACGAACACAAACGTTGTAAATGTTTTTAATTAGTCTCATAACTCTGGTCTGTTGTCATTTCAATATATAATACTGATGGATATGATACCATAACAACAGCGAGTGGTTCGTTAAATTACATTAGGGAATTACTTACCTTCTATACGTTTTCTGGAATATTTTCAAATTCAACAATATGGACGGACTATTAAACTTAAAACTTGTACTATTTTTAGTTAGAATTAAATTTAAAAACAGTTTTTTTAGTTGAATGTAACTTTATGTACTGTAGTATATTTGAATATTATGTTGTTCACAATCCGTTATATGACAGAATAAATATTTTTTTTATTAAACAAGTGGTCCTTTGTATAAGTGGTTAATATTTAATCAAATTCAAAACATTTTGAAATTGTTTATTGAATAGTGTAATACCTAAGTAGTGAATACAATTGTGTAGATATTATTTTGAGTCATTATCTTTATGTTGATTTTTGTTGTCTTCCATTTCTTTAGTAAAATTGTAGAATAATATTCCTTAATTTCTGTTTACCTTCTATTGTTCCAATAACTCGTTTAATTTTTTTTATAAAGCAATGCAATTTTAGTAAAAGAATAATTTCTAAGGTCATTTTTCTTTAACCTCATTAACGTATAATAATATATTTGTTTTGTTTATAATATAATGTTAATCAGTCAAGTCACAATGTTTAATATTAAAGGATATGAGAACAAAAATTTTTTTGTTAACCAATATAATATTAATATAATTTAATAATGTATTTTAACTACCTTTTTAAGACATTTTAAATAAGGTTTAACTAAAAAAATATGCTGAAAGTTAATGTTATAAAATATTTTTATGAATTATATATTTTTAAGTTATTGTTAAATAATAGGTAATAATAATAATAATAATAATAATTTATTTACGTATTTTGTAAACGAGTTGTGCAATTTTGAAACTGTTTGAACTGTTTTTAATCATGACTAAGGTTCAGTGTTAGTTATGATTTATTAATTATTATACATAGTATTATGAAAATTATTATATTAAAAATAAAATTGACTTAACTACTTATTAGTTTTTAATGATTACTTTAATAAAGGCTGGGTTAGGCTTCAAATAATCAGTAGTACAGTACATATTGTATAATCAATATTTTTAGCACTGAGGGAATAACATCTCATTATTATAGAGTTAAGACACTGAATTCACTGAAATTAATTGATGATTTTCAGCAACATATTATATACATATTTTTATTATATATTTTTGTACAAAATACTTCCACTTGACTAAGTACTGTAAATTCGTGTAAATAAAACTAATTAGAGAGATAAAGTGACAATTAGGTATAAAATTTTATATTTTATTTTAAGAATGAGTAGGCACTTCTTGAATTCACTATTTACCCATTTTAAGCAATCCGCCCATTTTCGTTTCAATTAGTAGACGTTACCAGTGGTGGTGCTTAAATCCAATTAACAGTGTTTGCTTAAAATATGTTAAGTAATATTCGATTATTTTACGTACGTGATTGTTGTTTAAATATTTACGTGTTGATTTGATTAATTAAATAAATTATAATTTGTATTGAAATATATTGTTCATTAAATAATTATTTTTTATTATATAAAAGAATTTAAAAGAAAGTTAACAGTAAGAAATATAAGTAGGAATCACGACATATAACTTAAAAAAATATTTACAGATTTTATATATTAAAAATTGATTGAACAACAATTTGAAATTTTTTAAACTTCTATAATTTTTGTATAGCTTTTAAATTCCTCATTAATCTTACAAAACAAGTTAAATTTTTAATTTTATAATACCGTATTTAACCTATACCAAAGAGTTTAATGTTTTATTTAAAAAGATTCTAAAGGTACTAAATCATTATATTTTTAGTGATTTTTAGTGCATAGGTTGACTGCCTGGTTGATATACGATTGTGAACGGACCTTTTCCCGTAACACGATTGCAAACGTTTTAACTTATTTTTAATCATGCGATGTTGCTAGATTAGGTGTTAGTCAATTACAAATTTTTAAATAATAATTTTTAAAATAATTAAATAGTAGATATAAGAATTTTCTGCTGCTACGCTATTAAAACAATTTACATAACCCTATGGCCAAAAAATATAAATCTAAAATCGAATCAACATTAAAAAATTATAATGATTATTATTTATAAAATCCACAAGGATCTATTTTTATATTTACAAAAAACTGGAAACTCCTAACTAAGAAAAAATGTAAAAAAAAAAAAAGAAAAAAATGTAGAAAAACATTTTAAAAACTATTATTTTTTTATTATTTTTATTTTTTCAGTTAATAAATTATGTAACAGTATTATTAATATTTATAATCCGAAATTATTTTAATTATTCAACATTTAAAATACTTCATAATATTATTTTAGTTTGTAACGTAGCTATAATATAACATTGTATTATTAATATTGAATAGTTTCTATAAAAAAAAAAAAATTAAATTGAATTTCCGAACAAAATTAAATATATTCAGAAATTATAAAATTGCTAATGTAGCCTATAAAAACAGTTCGTAATCGTTCGTTTTTCGATTAAAAAAATCAAATTTTTTGTAAGCGATATTCGTTCGAAATCGTGTTATAAAAAAAGGAAAAATGTTCGCAATCGTTCGC